CTCCTACACCGTGTGCTCTGTCTCTGTCTGTCTCTGTCTCTCTCTCACACACACACACACACACACACACTCATCACCTGCCTAGGTCTGAGGCCAGCCTGGGGTGGGGACCCAGGGCAGGCCTGGACCAGGTCAGAGGGTGCGGGCAGCTGCCAGACAGAGCCCTTAGGCGGAGTTCCCTGGCACAGAAGGGTGGGCAGCGGCCCGGCCCCTCCCTGGGTGGAAGACAGACCTGGGGAGGGAGGGGTGCTGAGCCCTCTCGAAGGAGCCAGAGGCCGCGGAAGGGCCGGGAGGGGTGTTCCTTCCAGCGGGCGGGGTGAAGCCAGGCCTCTGAGGCATGCCAGCCCGGGCTCCCAGCGCTGACCACAAGCAGGTGTAGGCATGACGGAGAAGGCCAGGGACCCGGCACCCCGCTGGGAGGTGGGAGCCGCGCCCTGAGGACAGTTTCATTAGCCTGGAATTCTCACTCAGGCACCGTCCAGCCAACACCGAGATCAGGGCCTGGGGAGGTCCTGGCCTGGGGAGGTCCGGGCCGGGGCAGCGCGAGGGGTGGGGCCGGAGCCCCCCCCCCGCAAGAGGGTGGGGGCCGCGCTGCAGCCTCCCCAGCTTGGAGGGGTAGGGGAGCGCCCAGAGCCCCCGCTGAGCAGCGGCGCCCCCGGCCTTCAGTGTCTCTGCGGAAATAAATACGCTCCTGCTCCTGATCGGAGGCCGCGGGATAGACACAGGACTGTCGTCTGAGCGCCTCTCCAGGGCGGGGCCCGAGCCCAGAGCAGGCCTCGGGGGACGGCCTCCATCCAGGGACATGACCTCGATTCAGCCTCTAACATCAACTCCGAAGCGACTACTCTGAACACCCCCCTGAACTCTGAACTCTGTCAACCCCTTGAGGCATCAATGGTGAGAGCCAAAAAGTCGTATTTTGTCTTATGCTTCTGTAAATTTTTTAAATCTAATTTTTGCTCACTGTGTTCAACCACCCCCGTACAGGGCATTTTGAGACTCATTTTGAGATTTTTTTTCTTTAAAGTGTTTATATATATATATATATATATATATAAACACACACACACACACACACATACATATAGTTTTTTAAAGTGTTTATTTTTGAGAGAGAGGGAGACAGAGCATGAGCAGGGGAGGGGAAGGGAGAGAGGGAGACAGAATCCAAAGCAGGCTCCAGGCTCTGAGATGTCAGCACAGAGCCCGATGGGGGGCTTGTACCCATGAACCATGAGATTATGACCTGAGTGGAAGTCAGATGCTTAACCGACTGACCCACCCAGGCACCACTAAAGTTTATTTATTTATTTTGAGAGAGAGAGAGAGAAAAAAAAAGCATGAGTGAGGGAAGGGCAAAGAGGAGACAGACAATCCCAGGCAGGGTCTACACTGTCAGTGCAGAGCCTGACATGGGGCTCAAACCCACAAACCACGAGATTATGACCTAAGCTGAAGTTGGACACTTAATCGACTGAGCCCCCCAGGCGCCCCTCATTTTGAGATTTTGCCAAGCACGTGGAAGGACAATAAGGCAAGACATCCCAGACTTTAAAGAACTGAGTGAGAGCAGCCAAGTGCTACTAGAGCAGAAAACTGAGGCATCAAATCGCAAGTTCCCTATGAGATCCCATGGAAGCCGTGGAAGGCAGTACGAAACAGCTGGAAGAACAGAAAAAAGAGGAAGGGGTTTGCAGTTTGAGTTTTCTAGTGTCAAATACCCCAGATAACAAGGTCAGATCTTGGCCATAAGTGGGTGAAGGTCAGTGAGTTTCAGAAAAGTTCAAAAACTATGGGGCACCTGGGTGGCTCAGCCCGTTAAGCATTTGACTCTTGATTATGGCTCAGGTCACGATCTCACAGTTCATGTTGTGTTCATTCTCACTGTCAGTGCAGAGCCTGCTTGGGATTCTCTCTCTCTCTCTCTCTCTCTCCCCCCACCCCTCTCCCTGCCCTGCTCTCTCTCTCTTTCTCAAAATAAATGAATAAACTTAAAAAAAAAAAGAAAGTTTGGGGTCCCTGGGTGGCTCAGTCAGTTGAGCACCCAACTTTGGCTCAAGTCATGATCTCATGGTCCGTGAGTTTGAGCCCCGCATTAGGCTCTGTGCTGACAGCTCAAAGCCTGGAGCCTGCTTCAGATTGTGTCTGTCTCCCTCTCTCTCTGGCTCTCCCCTGTTCGTGCTCTCTCTCTTTCTCAAAAATAAACATTAAAAAAAAAAAGAGAGAAAGTTCAAAACTGTAAGGCTTGGGTGTTAGATGGTTCATCCATATGAAATGTGAAAATCACAACAATGTCACAATCTTTGGTGAGATCTGGGGAGAGACCCAAGCAGTGATAATACAGATCTATAGTTTCTTTATTGATCATTTTCCACACCTCCACTCAGCCTCCGGCTTACTGTCTCTTGTCCATGGTGCCGTCTTCCAGCCTTCACTTCCCTCCTTCTCCATGGCTCATGTGCCTGTTTTCTCTGGCAAAAAACCTAAATAAGCCTGCTCCTCCCATTCAGTCACCCACACCAGACAAAGATCACCCTCATCAGGTTTGAAATCAAAAGTCAAAAGGGGCTGGTTACAGATATAGTGACAGATTGCTGGACGCACCAAACCCATTAAATTCCACACAGGTTTCCCTTTCATCCACTGGCCGTTTCCACAGAGACTAGTAATTTGTTCATGGTTATTTCTTAAATAAAATCTATGAATGTATATTATATATAAACTTGAAATCCATAGCAGGGTAAAAATAGAATATTTAGCAACTCCTTTACACTCCCCTCATCACTTGTACTTCACAGAACAACCGTTCATATTTTCTTCCCTGTCCTTCCAGATTCCATTTATACTTGAGAATGGTGTCATACAGAATATTCTACAACATAGTCCATGTATTTAACATATATCAAAATATGACAAATTTGGGGGAAAATTTCCACTGAAGAACAAAGGGATCTTCCTAAATACACATTTGTTTGTTTTTTTTTAAGTTTATTTAGAAGAGAGAGAGAGAGAGAGAGAGAAATTCCAAGGAGGCTTTCAGCTGTCAGTACAGAGCCTGACACGGGGCTTGAACTCATGAACTTGGAGATTATGACCTAAGCCAAAACCAAGAGTTGGATGTTTAACCGACTGAGACATCTAGGCACCCCCCCTTAATACACAGTTGAGAATTTCAAAGAGGTAGGGGTGCCTGGCTGGCTCAGTCAGTTGAGCATGCAACTTCAGCTCAGGTCATGATCTCATGGTTTGTGAGTTCAAGGTCTGTGCTGACAGCTCAGAGCCTGGAGCCTGCTTCGGATTCTGTGTCTCCCTCTCTCTCTGCACCTCTCTTGCTCACACTCTCTCTCTCAAAAAACAAACATTAAAAAAATAAAATTAAAAAAGTTTTTTTTTATCAGAGAATAAACAGGTAAGGTTATGGATGTGGGAAAGAAGGTATAAGAAATTTGAAATACTCTCACATTGGAATTTCAGTAGAAAGCACTAGGAGCATATAAACACTATATATAAAACACAAGTTGATACAGCCTAGAATATTTCCCAGGTTATAACCAAAAATGCGGCATGTGTACCTGAGAGATGCAGTCACAAATTGAGGCTTAGCTGTTTAGGAACTGGTACTATTTTTCTTAAAAATAAGTTGTTGTTTTTTTTTTGTTTTGTTTTTTTTAAAGTTTTTAAGTTTATTTATTTATTTTGAGAGGGAGAGAGAGAGTGCAGGGGAGGGGCAGAGAGAGGCAGAGAGAATCCCAATTAGGCTCTGTACTGTCAAGCAGAGCCTAATGTAGGGCTTAAACTCACGAACCTGTGAGATCATGACCTGAACCAAAATCAAGAGTCTGACACTTAACTGACTGAGCCCCCCAGGTGCCCCCTTTCTTTTATTTTTTTTTCTTACAGGAAGTAGGATTTATTCGTGGGCATGAATAAGGACGGCGTACTGCTGCTGGGGTTCTCAGAGTGCTGAGCCTACCATTTGCTCAGGCGGCCACAGTTAGGAATATATGTGACCCCACAACCATCTGGGATGAGCCACTTTTCAGCCGCCACGTCTTCAAATGCATCCACATTAAACTTAGTAAAGCCCCACTTCTTGGAAATGTGGATCTTCTGGCGGCCTGGGAACTTGAACTTCATATGGCCTCAGTCACATGCTCCTTGTTCTGCAGCTTGGTACAGACAGACAGGATGACTTGCCTAATGTGGACCCTGGTGGCAGTGGCCGGAGGCTTCCCCAAAGCACCCAGCATACCTTTCTGGGGTTTGTCAGCCCCAGCATAGGAAACAGCTTGTTGATAGGGATGACATAGAAGAGGGAGCCAAACTCGGATGTGAAAACCATCGCTGCCACAACTTTTCACCACATCCTTGTTGGCACAAATAAGGGCCGCCTCCAGGGCTGCAGAGGGAGCTCTTTGTATTCACCTGACGCCCTGTGTCCTCACGGTGGGCAGTCATCCACTTTTGTCTTCTTCCACTCCAGGTCAGAGGTTTGGATTTTAGCATCAGGGCACCTCTGCAGAAAGGGGACTTTAAACTCGACTTGTTCTTACAATACCAGTAACACCAGGCAGGGCAATGGCCCATGGCAACTTCAGTGGCCTGCCGAAGGCAAAGAGAGGAACTGATACTTGTTGATAAAATCACATCAAATTTTTTAAAAAATGTTTATTTTTGAGAGAGACAGAGCATGAGCAGGGGAGGGGTAGTGAAAGAGGGAGACACAGAATCAGAAACAGGCTCCAGGCTCTGAGCTGTCAGCACAGAGCCCAACACAGGGCTCGAACTCATGAAGGGTGAGATCAGCCGAAGTCAGACACTCAACCGACTGAGCCACCCAGGCACCCCGATAAAATCACATGATTTTTCAGCAGTTCAGTTTGCTCATTTATGGTTTAGAGTGATGATCAAGTGAGATAATACATTAAAAATTGTATATATACATAATACATAAAGATTCTATATGCAATCCAGTCGAATACTTTAAAAAAAGTTGATGTTGTTCTTAAGTTTTTCCACTCATATGAGGTTCTGCCAATAGGTAGCCCAGAAGGGACAAGCGTCATAAATATTCAGCATCTAAGGAACAAAAAAAAAGACAGTATTATTAATTCTATATTGCAATCAATAAACATTTAATGGTCGTACTTGCATATTCAGTAATATGACTCCATGGTAGATGATGTCATGTCTATTGTGTGCATATGCATTTTTGTGTGTTGGGCAGAATAACAAATAGGCCAATCAATGGTTCTTCGTGTCACTGGCTGGGGCATGAAAAGTTTCTCTCTTTTTTTCTTTTTCTTTTTTTTTTTTTTTCAGTTTATTTATTTTGAGAGAGAGAATAAGAGAGCAGGAGCAGGGGAGGGGCAGAGAGAGGGGGAGAGAGAGCATCCCAAGCANTTATTTATTTTGAGAGAGAGAATAAGAGAGCAGGAGCAGGGGAGGGGCAGAGAGAGGGGGAGAGAGAGCATCCCAAGCAGGCTCCATGTTGTTAGCACAGAGTCCAACTCAAGGCAGGATCTCAGGAAATGTGAGATCATAACCTGAGCTGAGACCGAGAATTAGATGCTTAACCAACTAAGCCACTCAGGCATGCCCTCCCCGCCTCCATTTAAAAAAATTTTTTTTCTTAAATGTTTATTTTTCTTGGAGAGACAGAGACAGAGTGTGAGCAGGGGAGGGAACAGAGAGAGAGAGGGAAACACAGAATCTGGAGCAGGTTCTAGGCTCTGAATTGTCAGTACAGAGCTGGATGCGGGGCTCAAACTCATGAACCATGAGATCATGACCTGAGCCGAAGTTGGGCACTTTAACCGACTGAGCTACCCAGGTGCTCCCTCTTTTTTTTTAACATGTATTCTTACTTTATTAAATCTTATTAGTATTCGTTAAGGGAAAACACACAAATGAGTAGGCTACATTGAGGAAATCTTATTTTTAGAATAGAGATAAGAAGCCTTTAAGAGACTTCCAGGTATTATCTTCAGTAATGCTTCTCATCTTTATTCTGGGACTTCAGGTCATACTCACCCCCTTCAGCTACCACAAATACAGCAAATCCCTATTTGAATCCTTTTAATAATGTACCAGCAAAGGAAACATTGTTTCCAAGGCCAGCCACGTACCTGCAAGTTTCATTGCGGCCCAGTAGATCCCTTAGCCCTCGTTTAGCCAGCTTCTCCTAGACAGTTTCTAATGGTGTCCCTTCTGTCTTCCATTGTTTATAATCTGGAAGTTCCAGTTTACTATGATCATGTTCATGTCAATGTCCATGGGCCACATCTGACAGCAATCTGACCTCTCACGACACTCAATACTCAACCCTCGAGCCAGCACCAAGTGGAAATGGTGGAACATGAAAAGTTTATGGGATATCCAATAACTTTGGGAACACAATCTGTCTCTCAAAGTCAATATATTCCTTTTTTACTTCCTTACAATCAAGTATTCTACATATAACACATTCTTACCTCTTAAGTCTCTTCTTAGGTTTCTGCTTGCACATCACTTTCTTGTATTTCTTCCTCTTTTTACGAAACCATTGCTTTATCTGCAAAAAAATAAGGTGGGGAGGTGAAGAATCAAGGATAAGGATATTGGCCTATAGGGTCAAAGCACTACACACGTGACTCTGTCAATAAAGAAATATGTTGTCATACCTGTTTTACTGTCATGTTAAATTCAAATGCAAGTGACTGGCTGTCTCCTATGGTGGGGCATTTGTTTAACTTAAATGTTGCCCAGAGAGTGTTCAAGAGCGGTTTGCTGACCAATCTTTCCTGGGGATGTTCTTCAGTTTCCTCTTCCATTTCTTGTTCCTCTTCCAGTTTCTCTTCTACTTCCTCTTCTTTTCCTTCTCCTTCTCTTTCTTTCCAGTTTTCCTTTCCCTTTCTTTCATCATCACTATGATTCCTGTTTGATTGCTCTGGATTTTGATCACAAAGCATAGCTGGGTCTTTCTGTATCGCACTATCTGTGGAATAAAATCAAACTGCAGCTGAATTTGACTTTTAGACCATAGTCAACATTCTTTAGTGCAGAATATATTTGATTTTCATAAAATATTAGTGTTGTACATTGTTGGCAAAAAGAAAGAAAAGAAAAAGTCAAGTTCTCAAAATCAGTGAATATTTTCATTAAAAAAAATCACGTTAGGGGAGCCTGGGTGGCTCAGTCGAGCTAAGTGTCTGACTTTGGCTCAGGTCATGATCTCTCAGTTTGTGAGTTTGAGCCTTGTGTTGGGCTCTGTGCTGACAGCTCAGAGCCTGGAGTCTGCTTCAGATTTTGTGTCTCCCCCTCTCTCTGCTCCTCCCCTGTTTACACTCTGTCTGTCTCTCTCTCAAAAACAAATAAACATTAAAACAAATTTTTTATTTTAAGAATAATTTACTTTTGGGGGCGCTGGGTGACTCAGTCAGTTAAGTGTCTAACTTTGGCTCAGATCATGATCTCATGGTCCATGAATTCAAGCCTGGCATGAGGCTCTGCGCTTATAGCTCAGAGCCTGGAGCCTGCTTCAGATTCTGCGTGGGTATCTCTCTCTCTGTTCCCTCCCCTACTCATGCTCTGTCTCTCAAAAATGAATAAGCATTAAAAAAATAATAACTTACTTTTGGATTTAAATATAGACTGAGTAAGGAAAGGGACTATGTATTGAAATTAACATCCCTTTGTTATGTTAAAAAATAAGTTATCTTGATATAAATAAGTTATGAATGACCTTAGTTAAAGACTATTCAGTTTTTTTATTTCCTCTTACTAGAGTTTTGGTAAAATATATAGTTTTTAGAAATATGTTCATATGGTTTGGTTTTCCTAGGATTCTTATTATTGATAATGATCATGATTATGATTTAAAAATCTTTTTTTTAAAGAGATTCAGAGAGAGAGTGAGAGAGAGCATGAGTGGAGAGGGGCAGAGAGAGAAGGAGACACAGAATCTGAAGCAGGCTCCAGGCTCTGAGCAAGCATTCAGCATGATGCAGGGCTCAAACCCACGAACCGTGAGATCATGACGTGAGCCGAAGTTGGAAGCTTAACTGATTGAGCCACCTAGGTTCTCCAAGCACGAGACTCTTGACCTCGGGGTTGTGAGTTTGAGCCCCACATTTGACAAAGAGTTTACTTAAAATTAAAAAAATATTAGAAACAAAGAGGAATTAAAGAAAACATCCAGTGAGTGAGAGACTTTTGCATTTTATGCCGTATGTTCCCTCGTTGTTTGGCCCTCATGCAATAGCAATGTATGTTTAAATGAATTAGTGAAGGGGCACCTGGGTGGCTTAGTCGGTTAAGCATCCGACTTTCGCTTAGGTCATGATCTCGCGGTTCGTGGGTTCGAGCCCCGCGTCGGGCTCTGTGCTGACTGCCAGCTCAGAGCCTGGAGCCTGTTTCAGTCTGTGACTCCCTCTCTCTGACCCTCCCCTGCTCACGCTGTCTCTCTCTCTCTCTCTCCTAGAAATAAATAAAAAACATTAAAAAAAAAAAAAAGAACTTAATGTTTAAATGAATTAGTGAAACCACCATATTAATAATTCCATGGAACACCTGCACACTGAGGAGCATCTGGGTTATTTAGGAAGCCTTTTGCGTATGTCTTTGTGCCCTGGAGGTGTTGCAGGTCATCCATATATTGCGCATGTTGGGCCAAAGATTGTAGTATTAAACTCACATTCTCTTTGAAGCTCAGACCAGTGATAACGTCCTCCACAGATGAGTTACATTGCAGTTCGGGCTAATCCAGTGATTCTGTGAACTAGATGTAACTGTGTGGCCTTATCTATTTATTTATTTAGAGAGAGCGTGTGCTCCAGCCAGTGGGGAAGGGGTACAGAGGGAGAGACAGAATCCCAAGGAGGCTCCTCACTGTCAGCACAGAGCCTGTTGTGGGGCTTGAACCCATGAACTGTGAGATCGTGACCTGAGCTAAAAGCACGAGTCTGACGCCTAACCGACTGAGCCATCCAGGCATCCCAGTAATCACTTTCTGTGATTTGCTACTAGGAATAAGAATGATTAAGAATGGAATAAATGACAAGGAACAATAAATTTGCTTATATTCTATTTCTACTTAATGGGCACTTACTCCAATGTGTTGATTTTGTGAAGTTATCATCAGCTTGCTGATGTAGGTCCATGATTGTTTTGTTTCTCTCCTAGATGCTCTGCTTGATGTCTACAGATAAAACTATTCTCAGCACCAGACAGTTTTATCTAAGAGAAGTCCTGAAAGAGATAAAAAGTGTATTATAGAAATATACGCAAAAGCTCTTATAAGTAAATGACTGCATTTGCTACTTTTCAGAATGTTTCTTTAAAAAAAATTTTTTTTTAATGTTTATTCATTCTTGAGAGAGAGAGAGACATAAAGCACGAGGTAGGGAGTGGCAGAGAGAAGGAGACACAGAATCTGAAACAGGCTCCAGGCTCTGAGCTGTCACCACAGAGCCCGATGTGGGGCTCGAATTCACAAACCGTGAGATCATGACCTGGTTGGATGCTCAACCAGCTGAGCCACCCAGGTGCTCCCAGAATGTTTTTAATTTGAAGAAAAATATCATTAAACTTATGGAATTCACAACTTGAACCTCATTGCTCTGTTTTTGTTCAAAACATAGAAAATAAAAAAGAATTACTAGATAATAAAAAATGCTTCCAAGTGAATGCTTGCTACAAAGATAAATCAATAAATAAAATACAAAGAAAAATTTTTATGACTAAAATTTCAGTGATCGCTAGTACAGGATTGGTTGAAATGACTCCAAATTTCAATGTATCTGAAAGTGTTGTTTGCCCTTAGTTTGAACTCTCAGGCAAACACAGAGATATACAATTATATCCCCTGATAATTCATAAGAGACAGTAAATATTTCCTTGAAGATTTGGGGGCCATTACAACTAATGCATTATAATTTAGCAAACGAAACTTTTGTCATTTTTCTCCCAGGAGCCCCTGAGATCTATTTCAACATTTGTGTTTCCCATTCCTCCAGGCCTCCCATTTCCAAACAACCCTGTATCCATCCTGGAGGGTGCTCTTCAACTCAGACTTTATTTGACTTTAGTTTTACAATTAATGATCTTGTGACTGTGGGCCATTTACTGTTCCTCTCTGTATTTCGTCTCCTTGGCTGAAAATAGGCCCCTTATGATTGTTGTGAGGTCCAAGAGTGCTAAACACAGCACCAATGCTAAGAATTCAATAAACATTTGCTTTTATTGTTGAAAGTGATCGATCTTTACAGGTCTCTGGTGCTTGGGTTATACTGATGGGGTATGTGTAATTGGTAGTAGAGCCATTGTTGAGTATCCTGGATCATTTCTGTTCTCGACATCTTTCATTACTGGTGTCCTGGGGTACCCTTGGCCCTTCGACTTCCCAAACATCAGCTTTCATATATGGAAACTTAATCATGTTAGATTAAGAAAAGAAATGAGCAGGAGGTGCCTGGGAGGCTGAGTCAGTTAAGTGTCCAGCTCTTGGTTTCGGCTTAGGTCATGATCTCACGGTTCATGGGTTTGAGCCCTGCGTGGGGCTCTGTACTCACAGTGTGGAGCCTGGCTGGGATTCTTTCTCCCCCTCTTCCTCTGCTCCTTGCTCTCTCTCTCTCTCTCTCTCTCAAAATAAATAAACTTAAAAATAAAAAATAAAAATAGAGCACTATCTCTTAAAAAATGTGCAAACAAAGGTTAGGAATAGGGTTATAACTAAAGCAAAATAGAATCATTAATAAAATGAGAACAACTACATCTAGAGAGAAGGTTCAAGTTCAGGGATAAGACCTATGTTATTTACCAGGCTGCAAAAAAATAGGTTTTCTGGGGACTCATTTAATAATTTTCCTTCTTATTAAATTTTACATGTTGAAATTTCTCTCAGGGCTCCTGTTTGGCTCTGTCCAAAGAACATGGGACTCAACTGCTGGGTTGTGAGTTTAAGCCTCACATTGGGTATAGAAAATACTGAAAAAAAAATTCTCTTATTGTGAGACTTTTCATTTATGCAATAGTCTTAAAAATTTTTTTAATGTTTATTTATTTTTGAGAGAGACAGAGCATGAGACAGGGAAGGGCAGAGAGAGAGAGAGACACAGAATCTGAAGCAGGCTCCAGGCTCTGAGCGGTCAGCCCAGATGTGGGCTTTGAACTCATAGATTGTGAGATCTCGACCAGAGCCAAAGTCAGATGCTTAGCCCACTGAGCCACCCAGGCACCCTTCATTTATGCAATAGTCTTACTGGTCCACATACTTTTTTAAATTGAGGATTTGTAGATAACTCTAACATATAAGGAAACAATAAATTTAGGTTCCCTAGGGCCTATGCCAGATCTGCTGGATCAAATGATCTTACAAAGTCTGATTCAGATGAATATTCCATTATTTTTTTAATGCCCTCTTTATTCTTTTAAGTAAACTCTGTCCCCAGTGTGGGGTCCAGACTCATGACCCCAAGATCAAATGTTGTATGCTGTACTGACTCAGCTAGCCAGGCACCCTGTGAAGTATTTTTTTAAACAAAAATTTGATTTGTATGGCCACCATGTAAAAAAAAATCAAGAGATTTGGAGTGCCTGGCTGGCTCAGTTGGTAGAGCATGTGACTCTTGATCTTGAGGTTGTGAGTTCAAGCCCCATGTTGGATAGAGTGATTACTTAAAAATAAAATCTTGTTCTACTGACGGAGCCAGCCAGGAGCCCCTAAAATCCACAACTATTAGAAAAAATTTTACTTTTCACTGAGGATCCCTGACTACAAATGGCTACAATAGGAAATGCTATGGTCAGGCTAGTAAAATCATGGAGATTTGTGTTTTGTTGTGTTTTCACTTGCTTTTCCTCAACAAAATTCCAAAATCAAGGTTTATCTAAAGGGAGATGGAACAAAGAAAATGAAAACAGAAGACTTGAGATCATGCAAGGGCATGTGGATCAGATGAGCTCCATGAAAGAACACAAGCACATAAAGCCTAGCTT